CCTTTCCCCACAGCCAGCCACACCTGCAATGAGCACCCCCCAATTGGGGGCAGGGCCCGCTGGCCAACCTCCCCCCATCTCCTCCTCACAACAGGCCCAGCCCTGATCTGCCCTGATTTCGGCCGGGCTGGCCAGACCCCACCCATGCATGAGTTCATGCACTGGGTCTCTAGTTTCTGTATAAGGGGTGTATCACACAAACTGCACTTCAGGAAGAAGCCTGCACTAACTTGCCTACCTCTGCATTGAACTGCCTTCCTTCACAGTGTTTCTTCAATCTGAGCCAGCCCTTATGAATTAGTTCCTGGAATCCTACTTCAACCAATAGGACTGAGGCTTTCCCCATATAATAGGAGTTATGCAGCTGTATTTCCATCAGTATCTTCACTAAAAAACCGGAGTGTCTCCACTCTGACCAACCAGTAGTGCCTTTTGGACCAACTAAATTGTGAAGATTTGGATTCCTCATTTGCATGAGGACAAACCAATCAGGGACCAGAGACAGGGACTTCTGTCTATATGAATCAGCTCCCCTCTGGCTCAGAGAGTGCACTTTCCTTTTCCACCAAAGATGAAATATGAAAGGTACCTTACTGGAGCAGAGCACAACTGTCTATGTGGAGAGAGGCTTGGCTCCAGGCTGCCTGACCCCATTGCTGGCTCACCCTAGTGCTTCACAGCTGGGCTGTTAAACAGCTGTGCTGCTTCGTAACTGAGCTATAACACTATTGAGCTGTTTGCACTGAATAAAGTTTCCTTTTTCATTATACCCCAAATTGGGAATTCCTGTTGGTGTTGAATTGATACCAACAACCATCATTTGACATGCTCAAACTATATAAAGAACTCATACGACTTACCACTAAAAAAACTAACAAACTAATTTTAAAAAATGAGCAGAGGACATGAGTAGACATTTCTCCAAAGACAACATACAAATGGTCAATAGATATATGAAAAGATGCTGAATATCACTAATCATCAGAGAAATACAAATTAAAACCACAATGAGATATACCTAAAGCTAACACTACATAATAATGACTATAGAGAGAAACCAAGATGGCAGCATAGGTAAACACCGGAAATTGCTGCCTCCCATAACAACTTCAAAAATACAACGAATAGACAAAACGGACATCATCCAGAACTACAGGAAGGCTGGCTGAGTGGAAATTCCACAACTAGAAGAAAAGATAAAAGCACACTGAGACCCAGAAGAGCGGCGGAAGTAAAGTGCAGAGGTATGGAGGCTCGAGCGCGTGCGGAAAGGGGCTGGCACCTGAGGACGTGGCTGTCTTTTTGAATTGGGAGGGAGTCTCAAGCTCCCGACTGCTCTGAACTCCAGATCTGGAAGTCTCTGGGGACAGAGGACTCATACGGGGAGACACTGGACTGTCTGGGAGCAGGCAGAACTCAGAACTTGAGGGCAGCTTTCCCTCAGAGGTGCTTGAAGCGATTACCAGGA